TACTTTGTAGCGGGAGTAAAATTAGATGAAGTATTGCCGAAACGTGGAAAACTGTCTTACTTCCAAACAAAGAGAGCGATTCGGACGTTCTCTCGTCCCTTGATCCTTTTTGAGGTTGACGTTTAGTTCCCCAAATAACAACTAGATGAAAGCCCGTTAACCACGAATAAACAGACGTCCCCGTCTTACCCCATGGTCCCATCTTGCACCACCTTCCCCTATTTTCTTATAAAACTAAACTTGCTTACATTTTGTCAATTTAGTAATGTAGTAAATACTTTTAGGTACTCCGTACTTAAACAATTATATTTTGTTTTATTATTATATTTATACTAGCAGATGAGCCCGACGTTGCTCAGGCAAAAAGTAACGATAGCAAAGATTAAGATTATTAGATTATAAGCGATCTTACTCGTTTTCACTGTGTGCAAGAATTAGGTCCCCTCTCCCGAGACTAATTAGAGAATTTTTAGATGGGTCTAAAAATATGCTCGATTTCTCGCAAAAACGCAAAATACCGCATCTAAAATAGTACAGTAGAAGCTAAGTTCTTTAGGGTAATCCTTAACCGTCTTCCTCTCCACCCGCGGGAGGGATTTCGAAAAATCTCTTCTTAGTGTGCATTGACATGGCATACCCTAACTGTGTACCAAATTTCAGCTTTCGATTCCTAACCGTATTTGGGCTCGGCGCTTATTATTATCAACCCATCTCGATTATATTATAAGATTTATTAAATTGAATATCTTATTTTTGAAATGCCTTGAATCTTAAATAAATTGTTACTAAGTAAGGTTTTAAATCGAAATAATTAGATATGTTTTTAAATTATATGTTCAAAATAAATTTTGCGAGACCTCTTCCGAGGAACAAAGGGCGCACCGATTCGACTTGCTCCAGGACGCTGAATATGTAGCTATGCCACTACTTACATGGAAGCAAATACTCATAAGCAAAGAGTATCTTTACTTGCTCATAACTCCAACCTGACCCAATTATTTCAACAGAAAAATTTGATGATCAGGTAATAGCAGCAGAATTGACACAAGTTTATCATGGTGTAAAGTCACATCACAGTTATTTATCCATAGAATGTGGAAGTAAAGTTAGCAATTCCATATTTCCTGACTCGATGGTTTGTAAAAATATAAAACTTGGGCGTACAAAAATTGAATCTATTGTGCAAAAGTTATTAGCTCCATATGCTCTTGAATTAATTATATCTGTTGCGAAGCATTTACCATTTAATGTTGCCACAGATGCTTCTAATAAAGGTAATAAAAAATTATTTCCAATCGCTATTCGTTATTTTAATTTGATTGACGACGAGCAACCTATTGTTCATGCTTTGATAGATTTTAAACCAACATGGGGTGAAACTTCTGAAGAAATTTTTAATGTCATAAAATCAACAATTGAAAATACAGGATTACCATTTGAAAATATTAAATCATTGCAGCTGATAATTCACCGGTCAATTTTGGATGTAAATCTTGGGTTTTTATGAAATTAAAAACAATTACAATTAGCTTTTATTAAATTATTGTTAATTGTCATATTTTCTATAATATCGCTAAATATGCATTAAAAACAATAAAATATGATGTGGAAAGTTTAGTATTAAGTCTATAGCGAATTGTACCTGCAACATCAAAGAATTAAGGAATTGTTTCGATTTCCTGGAACAGTCATACTATGAAACCTTGAAGCGTATTTCTACTAGATGAGTAAGCTTATATAAAGCTATTGATAGGTTACTGAAAAATTAGCCTGCTATTACCCTTTATTTTATAAATCAGAGAGAAGAATGTAATCCTACAATCTGGGCATTTGTGCAAGATAATGAAAATAATATTAACGATGAAAAATCCTTGCCAGAACTGATGTTATATTTCGTACATTCCTTTTTACATATTTTCCAAAAATATATATATTAATTTTTGAAGGAGGAAACATTGACGTCATTGAATTACATACTGTTTTTACAGATCTTAGAAACGATATAGTGCAGAGAAAAAAACAGTGCTTTTACGGTTTTATAGTTAATCAGGCTGTTTATGGATTTTCCAGAGAATGAGAAAAAAATATTCAAACAATAAGCCATAATGTGTACTCACGAGTATTGAAATATTTAAATGACTGTTATGATTTCGAAAATTCAATTTTTATTTTAGTTAAAAAAATAATGTTCCAACTACCGCGTTTCTCCGAAAATAAGACATCTGGAAATAAGACCTAGCAGAGGTTTTGCTGAATTGATAAATATAAGGCCACCCCCTAAAGTAAGACCTAGCAAAGTGTTTTTTTTACTCGTAACGGTTATTGACAGATGATTGAAAGTGGCCGTTGGCTTTTTGAAAGTACAGCCACTGATTGGTCAGTAGACATTCACGCCACGCGACATGATTTGCATAAAACTATGGCTTGGGAATCACAGATTTGCATAATGTTACGGCTGGTGATCGCTAATTGGTCTGCCAGGAAACATGCCACATCACATTTGCATTCGAGCCCGATGTCGACGCTATAAAAAGGTTAAGTTGAAGCGAGAGTGATAAGTGCAGCCCCCACCAGTGGGCGAGTGGTCTCCGTTGCCGCTCATAGCGGTGACCAGACCCTAAACACTGGGAAGTTCGTCGTGGGTTCGCGCCGCGATCGGACAGGCTGGCTGCAAGGAGTTTTCCGGGTTTTCTCCTTGCCAATAACGACTGAATAGGAGGCCAGTTCCCCTTAAAAGTCCTCCCGGAAGGCATTATTTCCCGCGCGTGCGTATAAGCCGTTAGATACGGCCGGCTCTTCGGTCGCATAGCGATCAATAACTCGTCTCTCGGAGAAAAAGCGTGTTAGGCCATAATCTCCATATGAACCAAGGGTGTCGAATAAGAATAAGAATAAGAGAGTGATAAGTGAGCGCACCAGTGGCTGAGCGGTCTGAGTACGTTGAACACTGGGAAGTTCGGTCGTGGGTTCGCGCCACGATCGGACAGGCTGGCTGCTTGGAGTTTTCCGAGTTTTCTCCTTGCCAATAACGACTAAATAGGAGGCCAGTTCCCCATAAAAGTCCTCCCGGAAGGCATTATTTCCCCGCGCGCGCGTTTAGGCCGTTCGGATACGGCTGGCTCGTCGGTCGCATAGCGATCAATAAACATCATTCGGAGAAAGAGCCTAAATTGAGCTATACTCTCCATATAAACTGAGAAGAAGAAGAAGAAAGAAAGAAAAAGAGTATGGTAAGTCCACTCCAGCACGGGAACTTCGTAACTTCACTTCGGTTTTATTTAAATTCGACACGACCGGATATACGTCACTTTCGTCGAAGTTCGACTTGGGAATTTTTTTGTTCAACAATAAATGTGAATTTTTTCTTCTTGGAAAAATAAGACCTAGCGCATCTTTCAGAGCAAAAATTAATATAAGACACTGTCTTATTTTCGGGGAAACAGGGTATAAAAGACTGCCAAGAACTCGATAAATATATGAACAAAATTGACTTCAAAGTAAAAGGTGACGATGTTTTTAATGAACTTTGCACAATAAAGAAAAGAGTAGGAAATTTGGAGGACAAGTTAAAAGCAGAAAAAATAATTCACAGTTATGGGCATTTATATTAAAAAGAAATTTTCCAAACGTTTAGAAGATAGTTGAATTTATGCTTAGCATTCCAATTTCTAATGCGTAGGTTGAAAGATGTTTTTCTTCAATGAATAACTTATGGTGGGATAAAAGAAACAGATTAACATTGGAGAATGTTAAAGCTGAACTACTAATTTGCAGTAACATAAAAATAAAATTTTTACGAAGAAATAATAAAAAATAAAAAACTTCTAGAAGCAGCTAGGAACAACCAAAAATAGGCTTTTAAGGCGGTAAATAAAAATTAATGTAATATTTTATTATATGATTTTTCTCATTTATTTTCATGTAGTTTATTATATGTAATCATTATTCATGTTACTTTTCAAATTTCTATATTTATATATTATATCTTTTGTAACTTAAATTAAATTAACGTTGGTATGTGTTATTTATTATTCTTACTTTTATCTACTATTTTTGCAATTAATATCGACCCTGTTATTAATTATTTTTGAATATGCCACATGTGATTATTGTATTACTTTAATAATATATCATGTACAGTACAGTACATGTTTACATTCTAATAAAAAAATATTTATTTTCTACTCACAAAAAAACCTAATTTTTTTATTTCTAAGTATAACATCCTAATTTTAAAATGTCCCGTTCCTCATCACCTGGCTGCCCCATTGTGGGCCTGGCCAAACCCATAATGGGCTTGCTTAAAGAGGCCCTCTTAGTGCCCACAGGGCAGAAAGAGTTAACAAAAAAAAAAGGTGGGGGAACTGTCCGGGTCAACAATTTCGAAAAAGGTGGAAAAATTAGATCCATTATTTAATACCACTAACATATAATCTTTCTTTTTTCATAATTATGGATTTCACTAGACCCACAACAGGGTGACTAAGTAGTGAGGGCCAAGGATGGAAATCTCCTGATCATAATAGTGTATGAAAATTCCCAAAGATCTGATTGGGAGTTGAAATTGGGTACCTCGAAATGGCACATTAACACCTTTACCAATGAAGTCATTATGACATGGACATTATCATTGGAAAATAACAGCACAAATTTTTTAAACTGTTACTTTTTTGCATTGTATAGTGTTAATTTCCAAACTAATGATAGGTACAGTAAAAACTTGTGTAAACTGGAATTGTACGGTACTGAATATTTTTCCCCGCTTAGGCAGGTTTCCGTTTTATTCAGGTTCTGCTTTGGACAGGTTTTATTGTATATATAAATGATAACAAGCTGTATGCCAACAAAATTTTATTATCTAGGAAGAAAAATACAGTTTGTTTAAATTTTACTTTCATATCTTAAAATAATATGATAAAAAGTTACAATAATTTCATTTTATATTTACCAATTTTTACATTATTATTTTTTTTTATCCTCAATACTGTACTTTATATAAAAATAGAAACAAAAATTATTCTTCAGTTTAAAAAAATCCCTGCAAGATATAAACTGAAAAACATTTTACATGAAAAAAAACTTTGGTCTTTGTTATTACAATGAATTTTAAGAAAAATAATTTTGGTAAAAGTATAATCAATAGCGTAAAAAAATATTCTGGGATCTAGAAATTTTCCAGTATAATAATTGCAAGAAATAAATAATCTTCCTATTATTAAGTAACAATAATGCAGAAACCTTAATTACAGAAGCATGGCAAAATGTGATAACTGATAATACTTCTGAATATTGATAAATCTTAAAATTGTATATAGTTAAAAATTTTCAATCAAATTTAACATCAAATCAAAGTTTTCTTAGAGCACATCTGCGCAAAAACATTCTATTTTCTAAACATAAGATCTACTCATAAAATTACCATTTTTCAATATCACAGACACTTGCAAAATCATTAAATATTTAATGGCATTAAAAATTAATCATAAAATAGTTAATTAACCATTAATAATAACCACTAAATAATATTCTTTAATTTAAAGATTATGCTTATACTAATCATAAAATTTATGTTCAATCAGAAAATGATACAGTTCTACTTCCAGTGAATATAATTGTTTTGTGTGAAATTAAGATTTAAATTGTCCAAATATAGTACCTAAACATGAATAAAATCAATGTATTACTTTAGTATATGTGTTTATAATATATAATGTTAATGTATAATAAAAAAAAGGCACGTACTTTTCTATCGACTTCGTAATCGAATGTAATGGATTTGCCATTGACGGTAACTGAAGACGGTTTGAATTCGCAATTAATTACTGTGATGTTATTTAATACTGGCATATTAGCATAACCATGCAATATTGTTCTTGTTGTAAGATAATTCTGAAAAATTTATAAACAAATTGTTATTTTATAATTAAAAAATTAATATATTATAAAGTGACTTACATTGTAGGAGTAAAACGCTACATGAGTGTACTGTTTTTGTTCTACAGAATCTGTTTGAAATAACCTTTTTTGAATTATATTATTTTTAAATTCAATTTTTAAGCATATAAACAAACACAACTGAAAAATAAAGACATTAAAAAAATTCAAATTAATTAGTAATTTAAAAATGGAGAATAACACAAACTGATAAATACACTTAAATCAGTTATAATTATTTTTAATTGTCTGGAATCACAGCAAAAATATAGATACATTCAAAAAGTTCAGGAAAGTAATATCATTATGATTGCATTAATAGTCAAGGTCACTCAATAAGAATGTTAATGGCCAAAAAAAAAAAAAAAGTTCAAAAATCTAACATAAGTAACAAATACAGTAGAAAATAATGATTTTTTTATGCACAAATTGTTTTAAATGTAATTATAAATCAAAATGGTACAAAAAATATTTTTAAAAATATATTTATTAGATATTTTATAACAGGTTGTTTTGATCTAAAGTGGAACCTCACTTAATGAGCATAATTCGTTCCAGAAAATCTTACTCGTAATGTGAAACACTCGTTAAGTGAAACAATTTTTCCCATATAAATTAATGTAAATTATAATAATGCATTCTGTGCTGAAACAAATACTCAAATATTTTATGTATAACGTTTATCCAAAGAAAATTATACAATATACATTATTAAGGAGCGTAAATCGTCATAATCTTTTCTCCTAGCATGGAATGAACCAACCTGGAATGTGAATTTGAATTTGCAGAAAACAAAAGAAAAAAAAAAAAAATCATCACAGATAATAGAGAGGTTGTGACCGATTTTTTTGTTGCAAAAACATGAACGTCAAACGTTCAGCACCACCGTCAACACCCCTTTACCAAGCCTAGAAGTTTGACAATGGCATTTGTCAGTGGAATCATGCTTCACGTTCCAAACTCCATTGTCAAACTTCTAGGCTTACAGGATGGGCACAATTCAAGCTCCGAATGATGGAGACATTTTAAAAATTTAATTTGGAATTGGTCATTAAATTTAATATGAGATAGCAGCATAACTGCCTACCTCTAGTCAAATTAATTAGTATTATTTAATTATAGCCTTACACAGCCCAAGAATTTGGCATATTGCTTGGCGTGTTTGTTATATAACAGGGATGGTTGTTGATATTTATAGGTAATATGTGTGAGCACAAGTTTGGAAAAATGTTTGATCATGGGCAACACTAAGATGCTTGTGGATCGAGTGCTAAACACAGACTGATGGAGCATGTGCACAATCTGGGACTTCTCATCTCCTCGTCACTCATTATGCAGAACATTGCTCATTAAGTGAGTCATTTTTTACAATTTGTTTTGCTCATTATGTAAGGTGCTCTTTAAGCAAGGTTAACTGTAAATGTTTCTTTGATTGATCCTAACTTTCTTCCTGAACAATAGATTATGGAAATATAATTAATCAGAAATTACTAAAAAGCGAAATTCCCTACATAAAAGTGCAATTTCAACATCAACATTTCAGAATCATTGTAATACAGTAAATTAAACATTTGCTTTAAATTAATTTAATTTAAATTTATTACTTTCAAATAATAGATAAATAATTCTCTTACCTAAACTGTCTCCATCGTCCCAAAATAATTCTCCTTCAGCACCAACTACATCCAAAATTACTAATAATCCGAAAGGATTCAAACGACTGTATAAAGAGAGAAGAAAGTATGAAATGAAATTTTGTAAGAATATGAAGCAATTTATGAAGCAATATTACTTCATAAATGAAAAGTTTACTTGCAGTTTATCACACTTAAACAAAGTTTTTCTGCAGTTAAATTAACTCATATAATTCATAATTTATGCTTGATACTGCATACATTTTATCATCTTGTTGCTGGATTTTTCCAAATAGGTGTAATTTATTATTAAAAGTTTTGATTTACTTTTTTATTGGGTGCTCACAGCTGGACAGAAGAGCTATTTTTATTTTGCCTTTTGGTGTCTGCCATAATTAATTGGATGTTAATTTTTGTAAACTGGGTCAGAAAGCCTAAGATATGTTTCATGTACTACATATTGATGTATTAGTATATTGCATGATTTACTGTTTTTGGATTTTTATAATACCCCAGACACCAGGCTTGGCCTGTACTAAATAGAATAAAATAAATAAAAAATATTATTTATAATCAAATGAAAAGGTTAGTAGTATTTTCAATAGACTCTTGATGTCATGATTTTAGTATCTTGTTATTGCTCTGATATGCATTATGAAAAACTCTTTAAATTTATAACAATTATTTATTATAGTCTCAGGATGATATTCAACTGAAAAGAATATTCAATGCACATACTTAACACCTAAATAATGTTCTTATTTATTTATTAAATCTGTTCTTATTAATTAAAATTTCACTTAATTATAACTTATTAATGGAAAATACAGTAGAGCATCAATTATCCAACCCCCAATTAACCGTCACCTCGGTTAACTGACTGCGTTCTAGTCGGCAAATTCAAATGTCCGCTAGTGATGTGGCACTACAGTGGAACCCCGGTTAACGAACGTCATGGTTAACGACCAAATCGGTTAACGAACTATTATTTTGCAAAAATTTTGTCTCGGATAACAAACTTAACGGCTTTTTGTGTCAAATTTGTAAGCTTGCTGACTTTTAGGGAAAGTCAGTTAATCGTGTGTCGGTGATGATCTAGGGTCCATTCGTACGTTGGTGGTGGCGGAGGAGACAAAAATGACAAGTATTTTACAGTGAAAATCGTTTATTAGAACGGGAAGATGCTTACATATTTGAGGTAGTTGGAAATGGCTTATCCACAGTATTTTCTCTCGGCACTGAGGAGTGGCGTATCGCTGGTCCTACGATAGTGTAAGCTGATCAGTCATAGCCCCAGAGTGGACAAGATGGGTTCGCTTGGTCACAGAAGCGATGGTAGGTGACAGAGCTGCAACGACTGGAGCGGTCCGCGAAACACAACACAAATTTTAGAGAGCACGACTTCAGGCTTAATCCAGATGAAGACAACACAGATTAATCACCATAGAATTTTTAGAAAAACGGCGTTTTGATCTTGAGATTCAGGGTTTTTATAGTATTTTTTCCTTGAATCTCACCTTATGATTAGTCCTGCGTCCCATTCCTCGCTTTCCGATTGTTTACTTCTTTGTCTCCAGGTGAAAACCGAAACCAGATTAGGTCACGAGAAAGGTTTGTTCCGAGGAGTTATTTGACACCTGTTCGTCGACTCTGATCAGAGATTGTTGATAAACCTATAAGCCTTTCGCTCATAATTTAGCCTGTTGTTTCTGCTATCTGTCATTTTAAAACTTTAACGATCGTGTGGGATGTTTTTATACCCGTCAAATCTTTCCCCTTATCCGAAAATTTAACCTAGATTGACTGTTTATGAGCACGTTTTCCTATATTTTCATTAAAGAAAACCCATTTTATAAATAAAATTACAAAAATACTGACAGCTAGAACGGATTAATTGTATTTGCATTAATTTCTATGGGAAAAATTGCTTTGGTTAACGAACAATTCGATTAACGAACGGACTTGTGGAACGGAGTACGTTCGTTAACCGGGGTTCCACTGTACAATATTTGGCTATGTCTTAGCTACTTTAATGTTATTTTTACGTGTTTTAGCTGGCAACACTCATTCAACCATGAAAGGGAGCCAGTATTTAAACGAGGCTTAATTTTCTAATTTTTAACAATACAATAGCAACGATTATTATGTTTAAAAAAAATTTGATAGGCTTAACATGGAGGAAAATTCAACACGAAGTAGGTTAATAGCGATATACTAATATACTAATTACATGGGATATAATAATATACTACACTAATAATGGATTTTTTCATACTTTTAAGTTATCCGACTTTTCAATTATCCGACCACCCCCGTCCTTAATTGAGTCGGATAATCGATGCTCTACTGTATACTTTTTTAATATATAAATAAAAATTTTTCTTTTAACTATCATATAAAATATAAAAAATTTATATCAGTTCATCTTTACATCAACACTGTTAATACTACACAATATATAAGTATATGTGATCAAATTTTCATAATATACACCTACCTAGCAGTAGTTGTAACATTGGGAATTTGAGTGGGAATTACTCCTCCACCTCTTAATGCCAAATTGATTTTATCAATAGGTGCATCAAAAGTATTATTAACACCACTATTCAGTCTTTTGTAGGTATAAAAGTCAAACCATGTGTCATTTGGAATGTATGCAGTTACTGTAGACACATTCTAAAATAAAAAAAAAAAACAAAATAGTCAAATTTTTTGTCTTATAAATTAATATGACAAAAATCTTAATATCTATAAACAAAATATATTATGTATAAATCTATATTTTGTGTCTAAATATATATAAGTTTATTATAATAATAAACTTTATATATATATAAGTTATATATATATAAAGAATAAAATTTAAAATCAGCAATTTTAAATGAAGTGTGAAACAGGTGATTACATATTTCACCTTCTAGTAGCTTAAATAAAATATATATATTCAAATTCTTGGCACCATATTGTATAAAATTAATATCTATACTACTTTTTATGGCAGCCAAATATTTATTATATAGGTCAACCATCACTAGTGAGGCACCAATTTTGGCTAGCATAGTTTCAAGTTTCGTGGGTCACCGTACCAACCTGCTGCTATGTTTGGGAGTGCTCAATGTAGCTAGAAGTATATTAATGACAAAATGCACAATAATTTGAAAAGAATTTTCATTTAATGTTTGTTTTTGGTATATTAACAAGCTTTTATTGATTCACAAAGTATTTTAAAAGTAGGATGTGTTTGGTAGCTGTGTAGTGGTTAGCTGTTGTGTTAATTGTATTGTAATTTAACTATCAGTAATCCTGCACCTATCAGGTCAGAATGATACCAGATGTTTCAACCTGTACATAAAAATGTTTTCAGCCTTTTCACGCCAAGTTCAGTTACCTAGAATTCTTGAAAATTAACGTAGTTTAGAATGTTATAGATTCAAATAATAGCTTAAATTAAATTTAATATATTGTGGGGTTTTGCCATCTCTTTTACAGATAGAACAAAAATCTGCTTTTAGGTCCTTAATGCTCAAAAAATAACAAAACTCAGTTAACTGATTAAAGTAAAAAAAAACAAAAAGGTAAAAATATGTAAATAAAACCATCTGTAAATTCTCATCTTATTATATAAATAAAACATGTTAAGAAATTATTTAAAAGTAAACAAATATAGAATAGAATTAAAACATTTTATAAAATTAAAATAAAGTTTTACACACATTTTTAAATATAGTTAATTAAACCTTTAAGCAAAAACTGGCAACTAGTTATGAAAGTATGTACATTAATTATTAATTTAATTACATCATCATATTTAGATGTAAAAATGTTGCTTTAATCACCTAACAGCCTTTCCTTATTTTGATGATGATAAAGTGTGCACTCCAATATTACTTTAATACCTCGTTCTAAAGCACATCAGACCATTGAAGTTCCTACTAAATTAAAGTTCTTATTAATGGATTAAAATACTCTTTCATTCTCCTGCTTATCAAATGTTAAAGCCTATGTAGTAAAACTTCATATATTCTAATGCATTTGGACTACATTATCCTTTATTCATCAGAATTTAACATTTGAATTTCAGCAAGAATTGATTATCTTTGCATTTTCAGTTCATCTTTTTCAACAAACTCCTTTTCAGCATTTCAAGAGAGCAATTTAAAACCCTTTACCTTTGTTATTGTATTCACATCAANTGAAATATGTGATTTAACATGGTAATAAAATTAAAATAAAGTTTTACACACATTTTTAAATATAGTTAATTAAACCTTTAAGCAAAAACTGGCAACTAGTTATGAAAGTATGTACATTAATTATTAATTTAATTACATCATCATATTTAGATGTAAAAATGTTGCTTTAATCACCTAACAGCCTTTCCTTATTTTGATGATGATAAAGTGTGCACTCCAATATTACTTTAATACCTCGTTCTAAAGCACATCAGACCATTGAAGTTCCTACTAAATTAAAGTTCTTATTAATGGATTAAAATACTCTTTCATTCTCCTGCTTATCAAATGTTAAAGCCTATGTAGTAAAACTTCATATATTCTAATGCATTTGGACTACATTATCCTTTATTCATCAGAATTTAACATTTGAATTTCAGCAAGAATTGATTATCTTTGCATTTTCAGTTCATCTTTTTCAACAAACTCCTTTTCAGCATTTCAAGAGAGCAATTTAAAACCCTTTACCTTTGTTATTGTATTCACATCAAAAAATTAACTTTAAAAATTCACTGAGAGAGCTCTGCTATATTTTATCCTCTTTCATTTCCTTTTCTTAAAGTCCAATATAACCCAAATGCAAACTTCCAATAAAGACAAAATAAAATAGTCCAGTATTTAAATATGTCTCAAAAGATACTCCAGAAAAACATGATGATTTAAATAATTTTTGGGATAATCATATATATATATATATATATCAGTAATGTGCCGTCCATCATGGAAGCTATGGAAGTGCTGCTTCCTTTGTATTTTCTAAAATATAAATACATATTGTGCAATTATTTTCATATTTTAACATACTTTGAATTAATTAAAATCACTATTTTGTTTTATTATAACCACATTATGATTCTTATTACAAATTTCTATACATGTAAAAACAATGATAAGATTGCTATTGTATATTTAATATATATTCCCAATGGAAGCACTGAATTGTCGAACATGAGACAGCTTCCTTGACAAAAATATTTGAATTATGTAAAGCAGCCAGATTATATGCATTCGCACATGCACTTTACAGAGCACCAACCTCTTGTGGTTTAGCTCATGGATGCTACACACCAAAATCTTGTATAATGCTTCCAATGCTTCAATCCAGGGCAAGCACAGCTTCCCTATCATCAAATGTCACCACACACCACTGATATACACTAGCTTCATCCATCTCTCTCATTCTATCCTTATCTGATGTCAACATTTTCATATCAGAAGGCAAACATCTGGCAAAACTCACATATATTATCACTCCACTCCATAAGACAAACATAATTTTGTCTCATTTATGTATGACATAACAGATGCAAGTTATTTGCTTGTGACAGCCACTCTTCTATAAATAAAGATTTACTATCTCTGGTTTAATCAAAATATGTTGTAATTAATCCCTCAATGACCTTATTTGAAAAACAATGGAATGCAGCTATGCATCTAATCTTAATTAATTCTTCTCTATATGTATGGGCCAGGAATAAGAGGCAAAATAAAATGTATCATTTACATTTATTTCTTGCCCAGCTTTCCACATAAGTAAATTGTCTATTTACCTACATAATAATCTTCTTTATTTTATATTTAGCCACAATTGAATACTCTCGCTACTCATTTAACTACTATTTCTGCTAGGTCTTCTAAGACTAGAGAGCTTATTGGAACATTCATTTGTTTATAAAAATTCTGATCCAATATAAAATAAAAATTAAGTCCAAATAATATGAAACATTCTTAAATAATTTTACATTCAAGCCTGCCCTATACTAATTAAATTCATATTTCAGGTAGAGCTTTTAATGTACATAATTTTCTTATCTTACAGTAGAGCGTCGTTTATCCGAATCAATTGGGGACTGGAGTTTTCGGATAACTTATTTTGCGGATAACCAATTATGTACGAAAAAATATTATCCCGTGTTAAAATTTTTCTCCGTTGCGTGTCGCTTCACGTTGAATTTTTGTCGATATTAAGCCTAACGAAGACTATTGTATCGTTAAAAATTATTTTTTTATTTTGTACAAACAAAATAAATATATTGAAAAATATAAAAACAATAAAAAATTATACTTCAGAAGTTAATTTAGTATCAAAAACGTAAAATATTTGAGTAGCCGAAGACATGGCCAAAGATTACAGCGCCACAGCACTGGCGAAAATTTAAAATTGTCGACTGGAATTCCTTCAGATAACCGACGTTTCGGATAACCCACCTTCGGATAAACGACGCTCTACTGTATTTAAAAATTTATGTGTAAACTTTACTTTAAATTAATTTTTAGAATTTTTTTAATATTTTATATTTCTTTACTTTTAAATAATACAGCGTTATTGTAAATTACTGTAATTATGCTAATTATTATTCAAGAATTTGTAATATAACTGTCTGACTTTCATCTCCTATCTGCATTCAAATGTGTTGTCCAATACCTCTAGGAAGAACCATAAACTTAAATGGAAACACTACAAGAAAGCATTCTGTTCTGCAGTTGGCAAAGTCAGAATTATATGTCATTGTGCAACATGAGTCATCTGCAGGAACTGTAGAATTGTGGTTGCTGTGATAGGAGTAACAACAGATATGCCATAGCAAGTATAGGAAGAATCTGAGTAATGATTAGCCATGTGAGTAATGATTAGCCATGTGAGTAATGATTAGCCACGTTGAGAAATTGCAATGTGACTTAAACAGTTTTCCAATATTTTAATGCATATTACAGTATTCTCAAATAACAGTTAGCATAATTACAATAATTTACAATGGTAGCATTCTTTTCAGAAAACTTTCTATATAATAACATACAGAAAAATAGTTTTATCTTATTATAATTGGTAACATTGCACTGTTTACACATGGTATATAGAAATGAGTCAAAATAATTGTTTAGAAATTTCACATAGTATTACCATAGTTATTGAGACATTTATATAATATATGGTATAATAATTACTCATTCCTACCGATTCTAAAGTTGGTATTATCATTAAAGATTTTCCCCATAAAAACTGAGTATCTATGCCATAAGTATTTATATCATGAAGATATCTGGAAATATAAAATTGTTAATATTGATAATAAATAAAATTAGAAAGTTTGAAAAAAATATACAACAATACTTCACTCAAAGAATAAAGGTCTTGCAACAGTAAAACCATGAAGGTGACTTTTAAAAAATAATGTGTACAAATAAGGTAGTAGATAATATCGTATTGTTAAAGCTTTTTTGGCTGCACTGACTACTTCAGGACCCATAGAAACGGGATCTTGATCCTGTAAATTGCATAAACTATTTTTGTTAGTTATGTTAATAATTTAAGATAAATTTTTATTTTCAAATGATATGATCAAGAAGTTTTTGTTTGACACTGCTGCAGTCACACATATGATGTGTCGTGTCCAGAGTAAGCTGATATAAAGCCAGAGATATAGCCATCAGTTTAGTAAGATATTTGTTGCAATCAGAATTGTATATAGAATGTGTGGTACACGTATTGATGGAATCATGATTATCAATAAGTGCAAATCAGATCAATGTACCAGTTTGTCTTGTTTTTGGTTGTCAGGACAAACTGGTAGACATTCATCATAGAATAGTAAAGATGTATGGAGATGTATGCCTGCCCAAACCACTATTGTGGAATGGTATGCAAACTTCTGTGACAATATTATCAAGCAAAAGTTGGACATCCTTAAATGGTAGGCCCTAGAATATCCAATATAAAGTCCAGATCTCTCCATGCAGTTTTCATGTCTTTGGAACCGTTATCTTTCCAGAGGACCAATCAGATGAAGACACAAAGAAAATTTTATTGAACTTTTTAATGAAGATGCCAACCAAATTCTACCAGACAGGCATTGTTAACCTTTTAATAAAAATTAAAATACATCTGGATACAAGTCCAATTTTGCTTGCCATGTCCAATCACCAGGAATAACTATTTCCATTGCAGAGACAACCTTTCTTTAGAGGCTATGCCTCTGCACAAATATGTAAAACAGTTTAAAATGTCCACAGGTGACAATCCCAACACAATTAAAAATATAATATTTCTTTGTAGAAAAGGCTGGCAGAATTACTATTTAATAAAAATTAAAATACATCTGGATACGAGTCCAATTTTGCTTTTTTGAGTATTTTAATTTTTATTAAATAGTAATTCTGCCAGCCAGCCCTTTTCTACAAAGAATTGTTAACCTTGTTCATCAGTGAGTCAATTTGCTTAACACCAGTAGCAATTTTACATGGAATGGACTTACCAGGCCCTTTAGCCCTCAAACAAAAACTTTTTGATTATCCCTTATACTAACTATTGCGTCATCAGTGTTATGATTTCTTGAAAATGGATAAAATGCTCCCAAAGCCGACCATCTGGCACACAGTTCTTTGGTAGTATTTCCATTAAAACCACAAATGTCTGCACCAACCATTGGAATTCCAAACATATTGTAATTCAAAATAGCTGAAATTTGAAATTTTATATAAAATGATTTCAAAATACTTATTCAATCTAAAGAAAATATTGTTACATGATATTGTCCATCTCATATTGTCCCAATTAGAAAAGATGTCTCCATCCCAATTTCCTGTAAAATATCCTGAACCAGAAAATGTAGATCGTGAAATGATGAATGGACGTTTCTTCCTTATTGTTTTTAAGGCCCTAAATGCATTGATAAAATTATATTATTTATTTATAAACAATTACTTAATAAAATAGATTTAACATTAAAAATTTTTTACTTGTTTGTAGCAATAGCTTCATAAAATCCATATAAATTGTGGACATTATAATGTATTGAAGCATTCTGCTGACACGTCATACATAATGTTCTAGTACATAAAGGCTCCATTCCACCAGGAACATAGGGTGGATTTTCAAATCTTGAAGTTGGGCATCCATCTTTCTGACCATTGTAAAAATTAGATGGTTCATTCATATCCTAAAAAGCAGATTTAAATAGATTAAAGCAATTTTAATAACTGATGATGAAGCAAATACCAATCTAAATGTGTTATCAGTATTATTATAAAACTTACAATCCAAGCACCATCAAATTTAACTTGATCATGATAATATTGAAATTGTTTAGTCCAATAATCTATAGCTTTGGGGTTTGTAAAATCAGGGAAAACAGTAGATACACTATTCCAAACCTTAAATGTTCACAATTTAATTAATATTTAAAAAAAAATTATTATTATTCGTTAATTTAAATCAAAAGTTGAAAACATAAACCTTGCCAATGAATATTTCCCCAGAACTATTTTTAACAAATATATCCATCTTAACGCCATCATCATATGGAGGATAAGTGCCTGGTTTCTCAGAACCACTAATACCAGGATCCTAATAAGAAAAAGTATGGTAAATATATGAATACTGTAATAAATTATAATAATAAAATGTACACAGAATTATTTTTCTAGAATCTTACATTGAAGTTTTTATAATTCTATATTTTATATGACTGCACATGATAATACTGAATTTTGTTTTAAAATATGCAAATTTCTTCTTGTTTAAATTGTGCTTTTTCATTAACAGACAAAATTTTCATTTTAATACTCAGAGAAATATGAGGGCAGGCTGAAAAGTAATGCACACATGCTTGTAGAGCACAAACAAAATGATTTTCAGAAGCATGCCAGGTGGCATATGGAAGTAACATTCCCCTCTATGTGCATGCGCAGTTTGAGGTTGTTGCATTCATTCAGTATATTTTGAGAAGCGAAAATATGGAGACATGTTCTGGTGCTATGTCAACGCGAGTTAAACAGAGTGCTAATTATCGAATTTTTAACTGCTGAAAAAATTACGTTTAAAGGCTGTTTATGGTGACGATGCTGTTGATAGGTCTATTGTAAACTGATGGATAATAAAATTTCGTGATTGCGAGCCTGGAAAAGCCATAATTGTTGATGAAACATGCAGCGGAAGTCCGATCACTGCCACAGACAATTACCGTTGCACCTTGTTGCAATGTTTAATTCTTCTCAGTGCATACAGACTCTAAAACACCTCTGATGTTGAGTTTGTCATGTTAGAGGCAGCTTGGCACCAATAATCTTGCAACATGACAATGCCCGTCCACACACCTCGCACGCAACTGGAGAGGCTCTGCGAAACCTGAAGTTTGAACCGATTCCACACCCTCCTTATTCCCCCGATCTTGCACCTTGTGATTTTTATTTGTTTCCTCTACTTAAGAAAAACCTCAAGGGTACTCATTACACCTCAGACGATGAGGTGAAGGCAGCTGTCAAGTCCTGGATTCGAGAAAAGTCAGAAGAATTTTTCAGTGACGGAATGAAAAAACTTGTCATACATCGGGAGAAATGTGTTAGCCTTAACGGTAACTATGTTGAAAAATAAATATATGATTTTGAAGCTTAAGAATTGTACTTTAATGTACTTTTTTCCCGATCTTGCTATTTTTTTTGTTTGTGTTCTACAAGCATGTGTGCATTACTTTTCAGCCTGCCTGTATTCTCCAAATTTAAATTGGCATATGTAATTCAAAAGTAATTTTATATTACATATTTAATTAATCAGTTTTAATAAACTGACACTAAATAACAGTATCATCATATGCTGTTGATATATTTAAATTTCTTATATTTACAGAATAAATTAATTCATGCTAATTTTGCATACGTTTAAGCACAGAAGTCATTACAAAAACAAAAATTAAAACATTTTTGGCCTCATTAGGGGCCACTGGCATTAGGCTTTAGAAGACTTATCTTCTTTGTAAACCAAACTTATGGTTTCTGGAACATTTCCAAATCATGGTTCTGAAATATACACTTTAAAATTCATTCATTCTCTTTATATGTCACATGGCCAAACATGCTTACATTTTTGTTTTTACAACAATTGTGCTGGAAACATATACAAGGTTGGTGTGAGTTAATTTACAAAATAATTCCAACTTTAGCAATAAATTTTGTAATAAGTTCTGTATCTTCAGAATCCTTTTAAAGGCTGATTGATATTGCACATGCTCAAAAAAATTCCATCTTATATAGAATTAGAAACTCAAATAGAACATATTTGTTTTCATTCTGAAGATAGACAATTAGTCCAAAATCACTTAGTACTGTAGGTAAAAATATGTTTTTTATGACTCAAATAAGCAAAAAACTAAATAGAATTCATTATTTATGGAATATATTAACGATTTAATAGTATCCTACAAAAGCAACTTGCTGTAGGATATAATTGAAAAAGACAATTAATTTATTTAATCATGATGGAACTGATTTGCTAATACTGTTTTTATTGGTTAATTTGTTCATTAGATACTATTAAATAAAATTATTAAACAAAAAATACTTACAATGATTGGAATATAATGCATTCCTACTGAATGTAATTCATCGACAAATTCTGGTAATCCAGCAAATCTAGTCTTGTCGTAAGTAAAATCGTTGTGCCTAACCATATAATCAATATCATTCCATTGTACATCCTAAAATAAAGATAATAAAACAAAATATCTAAATAAAGTTATGTTTACTCATTTAAGATAAATTATTATAAATGGCTTAATTATATGAATACTCAATTTTAAAACTAAATTAGTTCTGTTACTTTAGGTTTTTTTTTTTTTTCACTTTTGACTTTTATGGGCACTAAGATGTTTTCCCCCCCATAACCATTGTGGGTTTGGCCAGGCCCATGATGGGTTTATTATTTCCTTTTCTCTTATGTTCCATAAAACAGATCTAATTACAGTTTCTACAGTTATTATCTATATCTATTGTATCTATTACATATTCTGATATCTATATTGTATATCTATATTATCTATTTAGTGTTTCCATAGTTACAGTTTTTTTCTATAGTTTTTATCCCTAGTTTATTTGTATTTTCATTTATTGTAGGGAACTGCTGATATCTCTGATATTCCTTCAATCCTAATTTCATTATCACTGAATCACAAGACATAACAATTTTTTATTTTCGAAAAACTGTAATCAATTCAAATTTATTGTATTCATTCTAAAAACTTAAAAATTATTTACTTTTTTATTACTATTTCAAAAACTATACAAGATGAAATTGTATATGAATCATTGCTATTATATCTGACTACAAATATATTAACGGAAAGCATTCAAAGACTAAAAGAAATAATATTTCTATTAAGCTTGCTGGATGCCATTAGTAGATCCAGAAGTAACCAATGGAGACTAACTCAAAAATTATAAGTATTTGAATAATTAATAAGTAACATGTGCAAAAATTATACTATAGACAGTCAGATAAACATTTTGAAGTTCAAAATGTTCTTAAAATGGAGAACCTTCATTCCCTAGAGCCAATTCCTTGGATCCACCACTGTTGAATGAAGCTGAACATTAAGATGATCAGGTTAAGTCACATCATTTTTAGAATTATATTTTAATTCCAAAAGTCTTTCATGAATATTCTTTAAATGTTATAAATGGTAGCATTTATAATTATGGATTTTTTTGTTCTCATTTTAGATTATTTTTGTTATATTTTTATTGTTTCAACAGATCAAAAAAATTTAGCTCCCATAAAAAATTACATGTTGTCATTTGCCCTCTAATAATTGAGTAGCCCCCTCATTGCATTCAGCATGTGGGAGAGAAACGAAATGAGCAAAATTATCAGATGGTGCAATAAAACTGGTAAATCTAATCCCCTGTTTTTTCTACTTTCAATATCAATGCCAACTTGCTTCTTTGTGTGTTGTATTTCATACAATACTACTTTCAAAGTCAGTGATTGGAATAAAGTAATATTTCTTTGCCAGTAGAAAATTGCTGGTAACCAATTTTTTAAAAAATTGTTGGCTTTTACATTTAGAAGACCTGAACAAGTACCAGTACATTGTATCCAAATGAGCAATATAATGAGGAGCTACTGCATTATCCAAATTTATTTATAAACTGTTTAATAATCACCACATTATATAAATAAAACATGTTAAGAAATTATTTAAAAGTAAACAAATATAGAATAGAATTAAAACATTTTATAAAATTAAAATAAAGTTTTACACACATTTTTAAATATAGTTAATTAAACCTTTAAGCAAAAACTGGCAACTAGTTATGAAAGTATGTACATTAATTATTAATTTAATTACATCATCATATTTAGATGTAAAAATGTTGCTTTAATCACCTAACAGCCTTTCCTTATTTTGATGATGATAAAGTGNAATACCCAAACAAACATACCTGTATTCTAAGAGAGCGATATTACATCAAATTTTGCCAAAAACCTTGGCGATACCCAAGCGTAAACCATTCGCAAGATTCAGCAGGATTTCAGAGACAATCCTCGAGGCCAAAAGAAAGCGCGGCAGACTAATTACATGGGATATATTAATATCCTAATATACTATACTAATAATGTATTTTTTTCCTTCTTTTCTGTTATCTGACCAACCTGAGTCCCCAGTTGAGTCGGATAATCGATGCTCTACTGTATATTTAAATGAATAGCTTATAACAATTAAATAAAATTGTTCAAGTTTAATATACTTTTGATGATAACATGTTTCATAAATTGGTGTTTAGCATTTAGCAATAACCTAAATTAAACATTTCTGATGGAAGAGCTTAGAACCATTATCATACTTTTTATAATTGCAAAAGCAAATAAACAACTCCGCATCCAATAGTTTAATTATCATGTGATAATTTGACAGATCTTCCTGTTGTAAAAACAATTTATTTCAAATGACAATAATTCAAACAAATAATAATTTTCAAACTTACAAATGGAATCTTAGCATCTCTATTTTGTTTCCAAATTTGTTTTGTTCTGTTTAAAGTATTATAGCCATATCTGCAAAGATGAAATCCTAAACTCCAATAAGGCGGCATAAAAGTAGTGCCAATGACTTTTGTAAATTGCATTATGACACTGTCCGGATATGGACCAAGGAAAACGAAAAAGTCCAATATTCCTCCAATTGAACGAAATGTAACTGCAGGAGTCGGTTGTAGAATAACATCTATAATAAATTATATTAATTTATTAAAAGTTTGTACTTAATATTTACATAAATATGTTTAAGTCAAATTTGTATAAGATACTATTTTAAATTCATTTATTATTATAACAGAACTAATGCATTAATATTATAATGTGGTAACCAATTTTAAAACTTGAAGTAAATATAACTATAGAAAAGTTTAGATATCATATAAGTTAATCAATTTTTTAAGTAAAGAAAACAGACATGATATTTTTTTAACAGCGATAACATCAAAATGATTATTATTTATAACAATATGTTTATAGATTTTGATAAATACTGAAGATCAAAAGTCAAATACAATTGCATTTTCTCAGGAAATCTTGCAATATAGCTGATAACTGACAAAATGATAAGAAATCAAAACTTTTATTTGAAATATAATTCTTTAATTAAATTGACAAAATTTCTATTATTTTTTAAAAATATTCCTATAAATGTGATATTAACTTCATAACTAATTAATGGTATATAATAAATGTCAATTTTTTTTATTCTGATTCTATATTGAGTTCAATAATTACATTAAAATAGTTTCATATATGACTTTTCCTATCCACCTCCTTAGCTACTACAACTAATTATAGCAACACACCTGAATTCTTTGCCAAGCATAAATTATTTTATTTCTCTAACATTTTCAACCTACTTAATATCACTTTCTCTATCAATACTAGGTTAGGTTATAATCAATACCTGAAACTACTTTAGTCCAAAATCTATAATTACATTTGTATAATGTAGCTTTAAATACACAGCTTAATTTTGGGTATAGAAATGAGTTTGATAAAAGATTGTAAATGCTAGCAAGGAATAGGATCTGCATTAAGTACCTCCCTGCTCGAGATATGACATACCCCTCTATCTCTATTGAATGCATTAATTAGAATTAAATTAAATCTAGTGACAAAATATTGCATATAAATATCATTAAAAAATTATTTACAATATTAATTTTTATTTAAACAAGTTGCATATTTTTTTCCTAATTTATATAGATTAAAACAGATGTGAATTCCTTAATTTCTAATACATCTATTCTATTGCAACATCAGCAACTGTAAGATATATATTAATTTATTAAAATCAATGCAAAATATTTATTTAACTCATTTTAACCTACAGACTTGCAGATTTGGTTCTTGCTGGTAATGCCTTGTATCAGGTTAATCACATCAAGATTAATGAGTATCAAAATTCTAGGCAAGCCCACATTACCAAAAAAGCAAGCACAAGAAACTGTCATTTGTACCAGTAAAAGTATTAATAAAATTTGTCAAAATAGTATTTTAACTAAATCTCAAATTATGCTTCTCATAATAGAATATATTTTTGTAAATTATAGCTATATAAGCTAATTAAACAAACATTTTTTATTCTTTAAATGTCCTCTTGCTCAAGAGAATGCAGATTCAGGTTGGTGTTTTAATATGATGTATAAATTATAAAATAATTATAGTGATATTTATTTACACTGTTGGTCATTAAAATTGCTACACTAGGAAGGAAAGCAAATGGCAAAATCATGTATAATTTAATGGAGGAACACATGATTAAAGTGACAGATAATCTTGAGGTAAAGACAGAGCACTCAGCATGTTGTACAGAGCACTCAGCATTTTGCATTTGTTTTGTGCCACCTTCATGGTGTAGAAATTTTAATTGCCAGCAGTGTAATATATCTCGAGAATAGTAAAAGCTGAACTCAAAACATAAAAATATGTATAAAAAGGGACATATTTCCTATTGATTATGAGTTATCATATCAAGAAAGTTTTCTATATATAAATAAATTAAACATAAATAGTTAATATGGTATAATAATTACTTAATACAAACATTATAAGATAAAAACATACCCATAGCATTACTGTTCAATAAAAACACTCCATGACTCCATTTGCCACTGTCTAAACATAGGTAAAATGGGTGACTTCCATACAGATTCATATTTGGCTATACAAATAAAATAGTATTTTAATACTTCATTCAATATGCATAAACACATATACATGTCTAGTCTACATTTCATATTAAACCATTTACCGTAGGTGATCTATCACGATTGAAAAATGTGAATCGCTGCCAAGAGACATTCCGCTGTAATGGTGCCTTATGTTGTCCTAAGCCATAAACATAAGGAGATGGCAATCGACTGGACAGTTGCAGAAATTGATCCGAAAACACCAGTCGTTTCAAATCGGTGTGAAATCTAAAGCAAATAAAGTCTATATTTATAAATATTTTACATCTGAATGTGAATTTCAGTTAAAATTTTACGCTTCAAAAAATTTAGTTATAATTTTACCAACATTAAAACATCTATCAGGTAGGCCAATATTTAAATGACACTTAATTTTCTAATTATGAGTGGTTGTTTGTTTCGTGAGCAATAAAATAATTTAAAAATAATTTTTAATGATACAATAGCGACGATTATTATTTTTAAAAAAATTTGTTCGGCTAAACATCAATGAAAATTCAACGC